ATCCTTTGATATGTGGAAGGAGTGATGATGTCATCAAGTTTACTACTCCACCATCCTCCTCCTATCTCTAGAGCAGTCAGTGGTGTGTTCACCTCTACTATATTCAGTGATGATGGTAGGAGTTCATCAGGTTATGTTCAGTGAAAAAGCTTGTAATGTGTTGTTGTCCTTTAGTAATTGCTCTATTACTCCATCAGGTAGAGGAGGAGGAGAAGCAAGAGAACTATGTATTGTTAATGATGTTATTGTTTTATTTCTTGTTACTCCTCTAATGACACTGATAATGGTACTTGTTAATTCCTCATATCCACTGTACCCAATATCTATTTCTTGTAGTGTTAAATTCATTTCAATACTTTTCTCAAGTTCAGTGCACTTGTCTGTGTAGTATTTGTCATCAACTGTTGGTATAGTAGAAATGTCAATTATTAAGTGCAGTATCTTCAATTGAGGAAGATTGAGGAACTGTAACAATACAAGACAGGGAACATATTCACCTAATGTTAATTCAAAGTAGCACTCTTGAATATTGTATAGAAGTGATGATTGTCTCAATTTGTGTATTATTTCATTACTTGGCTCATACAACCTTACCTCCAGTCTCTTACATTGGGTCTGTAGTGAGTTATTGGTTAGTCCAGCAGTGAAGACTGATAGTTCCTGGTTAGATACATCCCCCAGGTGCAAGTGATTCCATGTTGTGTTGGAATTGTTTATACAATAACTGAGACACAACCAGTCAAACAATGATAATGATACTCCATCCAGACACAGTGAGTGGTTGTTGATGGATTGTGCTAAGACTTGACATAATGTTGTGTTCTGTGATTCATACAGGAGTTGAAGAAGAAGAATGGGAACATTGTCGAAATCATCAGAACTGACTTGATCATAATGTCTAATCTCAGGATTCTGATAGAAGTAGGAGAGATGACAAGTCTCAAATCCAAACAATGGTTTCCTCTTACACTGTAAGTCAAGTTGTTGTTTATTAAAATACTGTTGATAGCTCTCATGTTCAAGCTGAGTTAGACCTGCTACAAACCTCAGACACATTCGAAAGTGATCATCATCAAAGTGATCCTTAAACACTTCCTCTCTCTTCTTCTCATGCTTAGCTATCCACCATGCAGCTAGAAATTCCTGTATACTCAAGTGAAGGAATTGATACTCCTCCTCATCATAATCTATGAATGTTGTCATCAATCCAAGATAGTCTTCCTTGACTGCCTCACTCAGTGACTGTGATTGATGTGAAGAGAATGTCATTCTTGTACTAGCCAGGTTAGTATAAGCTATTTGACACATCTCTTGTAAAGGTTTAGCTAATCGTGATGGTAATGAAGAAAGGCTACCTAAAGTATATGAATCAATGTCATGTCTTTTAACATGTCTTCTGATAGTTTGTAGGATAAAATTCTCATACAATTGAGTGAGTGTTGTTGGTAAGTGTCCTTCTTCCTTAAAAACTAAGATGACCATGGAACAGACTAGTGGTACATAACACAATGATTGGACATCATTTTGTACTTCAAGATCATTAATGAGTTTCACTGCTAGTTGTGAGTCCTTGCTGCTTTGAGTAGTTTTGAATGATTCACTGAAATTGTAAGCATGCTCATCAATGAGTTCTTGTGCTAGTTTTGTATTTGTTTGAAGTGTTTGTATAATTACTGTTGATATTTCTTCCTTAGAAAACCCAATGACCTGAACATGTCTACTGAGAGTATCCATTCTTAAAAGTGAGGAAGAGGCATAGCTACGAGAGGTAACAATTACTGAACATTGGTCTAACTGCTTTCTATGAATGATACTAGCAGCTAATGAAGACTGTCTGAGTTGTTCACTTAGTTCATCCCAACCATCAAAAATTATCAGTAATCCTTCTCCATCCCTCTTCTCAAACCATTCAGCTACCATGGGAACTTCATAACGTCGATGCACAAACAGGTCAGTTAGTGTAGTAGCTGTAGCTATCTTGCTATTCCTTAAAGGACAGTAAAGTACCAAGTCATACTGTTGGTGTACAAGTGGTCCATTAGACCACATATTTAACAGTTTACGACAGAGTGTTGTCTTGCCAATTCCAGGAGGACCATCTATTACTATTCTGAGAGACAGAGAACTATCTGTGGGTTGGAGGACATCTCCAACACTTATCTCTTTGTTTTCAGTTAGTTTGACTGTTTTATCAACTAGTCCTCTTAGCAGATGCCAAGCTGATTCTGCTTGTGTGCCAGAGTCTTGTTTTTCTACTAGTGCTAGTCTTCCAAAAAAATCTTTTCCAATTCTTGGTGGCCAGTCTGTAGCAACAATAGGTTGGTGTTTGTAGTGTTGTCTCATATTGTCAGCATATCCTTGAACATCATCAGGTATTGAACTAATGGATGTGACATTATCAGGTATAGACTGACCTAATGTATTGAGATATAATGACTATATTGATCACTGATAATATATACACACACACTCACCTAACTGGTGTAATATAGAGGTAGCAATATCTGTTAGTGTATGATGTTGTTGTTTTATTAATACATGACATATATCAATAAGATACTGCTCTGGATTAAGAGAGGATTCCAACTGTTGCTTGTAGTGTAATGAGTAGTTTCCCAGTTTTCTTTGAATCATTCTCTCCTGTCAATGAGTACATGTCCCTTTTAGTATTCAGTGGTATCAGTCCTTCAGCATACAGTGCATATGTTGTTCTTGGAATGTCAATAGAAATACTATCAACAAGTTTATCAGAATGAGTCCTTAATATATCCTGTGGGCTACCTACAGTAGTGTATCAGTTAATGAGTGTTGTATTAAGTGTATGCTTACCTGTTATAGGACGAGGATTAGTACTACTGGTACTGGCTTCCATATCATCATTAGTACTTCTTCCAGCTGTGGGATCTGTCACTTTGTCTTCAATAGTTCTAGCTAGTTCATTCTCTTTACATTGTCTCAAAGCATTAATGACATCCCTCCATGATGCTGTAGGATTAACTTGTAACCATCTCTTATGTAATGCCTCCATCCTGAGGTAAGAGCTTCCTTTTGTTTCAATTATATTAACATCAAGTTGTGTTATCCCACCAGGAAGACAAAGAGCAAATGGTTTCCAGTCAACAAGTGGTTCAAGATACTTTGCAAATAAGAGAGAAGAGGGCCAATCATCAATCATAGGACCAGGATTGAGTTCAACATCTCCTGATAAGAGGAGGAGCATACGTAGACAAACAATCAAATAGAGATCATTGTAAATCAGGTTAGAACTGCTGCCTCCAGGTAAGACTATTGACTGGAGGTAATTTGTATCAGTAACTCTAACACCAGTAGTACATTGTACTTGGTAGCAGTTACCTAATAATAAAATACCAGTTAATATACAAGTACAAAGTTGCAATTGTTGTTTACCTGTTGGAGGAATTATCAAGATGTGTCTTAATAAAGAGAGAAAAAGAAAGAGGAGGAGGAGGAAAGCAATAAGAGACAGAGCTGCTGGCAGTTTAAATGTCTTCTCTCCTGATGTAGTACTGCCTGACTTGCTGTCTACTGCAGCTTTGAATGAGTGAGAGTGGCGGCCATTAGGTGGTCTACTGGAGGCAGCTTGACAGTAGTTCCACAGTCCAATGCTTGCTCTCCATTGAGAGACATCAATCATCTTGTAAGACAATAATAAATAATAGTGTTTTCTAACAGAGATGAGTGTTCCTTGCCATTGATAAAAGTAATCCTTAAGAACAGAAACACAAAACCGAGCACAAAACACGTACACCACAAAAGTGGGCACAAATTTCCTTATAAGGACATTGGCAAAGAATGCATGTACTACTAGGGGTGCGGGGATTATGCTGGAATAATTTTAGGTAGGGTGTCTAAAGTGAAAATTGTAATGTCAAGATTTTAACTAATAAGTATCTCAAATTATTCAACTAACTGAATAAATACTCC